GGGGAAGGAAAAAAGAAAAGAAAAGGAGGGCGGGGGGGGGGGGGGGGGGGGGCGTACTCTTATGTTTTGCATGCCTTAGTGGTTAGACCATTGACCACGCGTCCTCGAGAGGACGGAGCATTGTTCCCACAGGACCGATCACCGATGGCCAATCGTTCCTTCCTACTTTGCCAAAGGTGGCTCAAAAATGTCTACCCTATTATAGTCTGTCTACATCCTAACGATATCCCTTGCCGCCTTTTCAAACCACTTCCTTCTCCCCAGTACAGCTACCGTCCTCTCCTCTCTATTCCATGCCTCAAACATCTCCCTGTACCTCCCTTGTATTTTTCCCAGCTCAGTCATGTACACTTCCCTCTCCTCTTCGTACCACGGACATTCCGCGACTACATGAACACGGTCTTCGCATTCGAAGCCGCAATCACATTTGAACTTGTCGTCTTCGTCGTCTACCGTCCTATGTCTTCGTCGACGTTCTCGAAGGCCTATGTCCCCGGTCCTGAATTTGACCTTAAGCTGTGTCCCTGCATCCATTCGTCCATGTAGGTAATTCTTGAACCCTATTCCTTCTTTCAACATTCCGTACACTTCTGGACCCTCCTTATCCTTGGTTTCTTTCCTTAGATTATGTTCTTCTCTCTCGGCACAAGCAACAGATATCTTCTCCTTGAACCCCTGTAGACCCTCCGTTTCCAGCGTTTCATCTTCGTCGATGTCTAACCCCTTCCATACGTCCTCTACAACCTTGACCCATTCCGTGGGTAGTCTACCCCTCTTTATGTTTGCCCACTTCGCCTCCCATACTATTCTCGGCAACCTCTCCTCTCCCATCCCGCACATGCGATACTGCCATGTCAGCTTCCTTGCGTCTCTTCCCGACCGTAGGGATTGGATCCCCAATTCTGCCCTGACGGCTGCATTACTTGTGCGCTTGGAGCATCCTAGGATGATTTTCGCTGCTTTCATCTGCGCCGCCTCGAGTTCTTTCACTACCTTCTTATTTCCTTCCCATAATTCTCCGGCGTACTCTAGCGGCGGTACGATTACGCTCTTCAAAACCGTCAATTTGATGCGTGTATCGAGGTGCCGGTTTGCAAGTATTGGGTGCAGCTTCCCTGCTCGTGCTTTGCTCTTTTCCGCTACCTTGGACATGTGTGCATTCCACGAGCAGGCTTGTGCGATCTCTACTCCGAGGTATGTGTACTGATCCACTACTGCAATCTCCTCGATCCCCCACTTCCATCTTTGTTATACTGATTCCTCCCTGACCTCGTTGCACACCATGACGGCACTCTTCTTAACGTTGGCAGACAATCTCCACTTATCAGTAAACTTCTTCGCCGCGTCAATTTGTAGTTGCAGTCCCTCAGGGGTGTCCGACATACCAACAAAATCATCCGCAAACAGCATTCCTAACACCGAAGTTTCCGTTTCCCCTACTTTTACTCCCTTCCGGACTGCCTCTACGACTTCCAACAGATCGTTGACGAACACCTGGAACAATGTTGGGGGCAGCGTGCAACCTTGTAGGGACCCCCTGCTCAATGTCGAAGAACTTAGACAGTTCTCCGTCTAGCATGACCGCGCTTTTCGTACACTCTGTCATCTTCTTCAGCACTCTCCACATTCCCCTTGATCCCGTACTTGGACAATTGTTTCCACAGCCCATTTCTCCATACGGTATCGTATGCCTTTGTCACGTCCAGGAAGTACTGCTTTCCCGCCCTCTTTCTACCTTGGATGATTCTCCCTACCGTGAATGCGTGGTCTACGCACCCCCTCTTCTTTCGGAAACCTGCCTGGCCCTCACTAATGCTACGTTTCTTCTCCAATACTCCCACTATCCTATCGTTCAGCAGCTTACAAAACACTTTTCCTACTGTGTTCAACAGTGTGTACCCCTGTAGTTTCCTGGGTCAGTCTTGTCTCCTTTCTTAAACAAGTTCACAACCACTCCTTCCCTCCATCTACTTGGCGCGTACTCGTTTTTCCACACCCAGTTGCACAGCAGTACCATCAGCTGGATCATCCCCTTCCCCCCAAACTTCATGAACTCATTGACTACATATCCCATTTGCCCCTGCTGCTTTGTGGCACTGCAGCTTGTTCACACACGCCTCAACCTCGTCCTCAGTGAACTCCTTTTCTAGTTCTACGTTCCCAACGTCTGCCCTCGATGTCTCTTCTTCTTTCTGGGCCTATGCGTCCACCTCCTTCTTAAAACACTTGGTCAAAAGCTTCATTCTCCGAAGGCACTCCAAGTCTCTTGTAGTGTCCTGCTAGAACTTCCCTTTTTCCCTTCCCACTGCTGACTAGTCCACCGTTCACACCTCGCAAAGTTGCTACCCCTGTATCCCCCCCTTGCGCGGTCTTTTTTACCATCCCACTAATCCCTTCCCACATGTGCTTGGCGTTCCCCTCCAGGCCTCCGTTGGCCTTCTGCACTACTTCGTCCCAAATGCACTTTTTCTTCTTTTTCACTAGTCCCTTCGCCTGTTTCCTCTTGGCCCTGTACTTTTCCCAACTCTCTTCAGACCCCTCACTCAGGTACTGCTTGAATACTTATCTACATCCCCTATTTCTTCTTTCAGCTCGTCATCCCACCACTTAACCGATACCCCACATCGTGCCGATACCCCACATCGTACCACCTTCTTTCCCACTACTATCTCTGCCGTTGTGTTCACTATGGACTCCCATCCTTCAATCACCCTGTCCCCTGCTGCTTGTACGTCTACCTTTCCGTCTTCGACGCTTCTCAGCAGTTTCCTGAAGGTTTCTACACTACCAGCCAGTCCCTTCTGGAATTCATCCCGTGTCCCCTCGTCTCCCAAACGCTCTACTTTCCACCGGAACACTTTCCTCTGTTTTTTACTCTCCGTCTTTCTAGATCGGTCGTTAATGGGGGGGGCGGTTTAACGACCCCTATTGTAGTGTCACCACGAAATGTGGCCGCTATTCAGGGCAGGTCGCCAAACCGAACTACCAATTGTAGTCTACACCGGGATGCGGCTGTGCGACGTGGTTTTGTGGTCGCTGAACCGGGGCCCCTGCTGCTGTACCCGCACCGCACCCTGGACCGATGTTTCAAAGCTCGATTACTCTGCGGCAAGAACGGACGGGACGTGACGTGCCGTGACGAAAATGGTGGCGTTGGGACCGCGTCGTCTCGAGAGTTTTCCAAAGACGTGTCCTTTGAGTGTGGCATCCTCGTCCTCGTGGGGTAGTGGAGTTTTGAAAGTCGGTCTAGGGGGTGTGGTGTCTTGTGCAACCTACGGGCCATTTGTTGTCGCGTCGCAAGGCGGTCTCGACTCTTGACGTGTCTCATACATTGACCACGCGTCCTCGAGAAGACTCGAGAAGACGGAGAATTGTTCCCACAGGACCGATCGCCGAAGGCCAAGCGTTCCTTCCTACTTTGCCAACGGCGGCTCAAAACTGTCGTCCCTTGTCTACATATCCTATCGATATCACTCCCCGTCGCAACCCACTTCCTACACCCCAGAATAGCTATTTCCGTGATCTCCTGACTATTCCATGCCTCAAACACGGCCCTCGGTGGGGGGCGGGAGGGGGGGTAGGCAGTGTGCCTTCAACCATTTAGAACTTTTGCGATACATTACATGCGTCTCGCCGAAAAGGAAAAGGGATCGCCAGCGTGCCTTGGAACTGGCACTTTTTTTTGGGATATTTCCCACCGGAGGCTCAGGTTGGATGTCGCTGCTGTGGTGTGCAGAGAAGAACCTCTTTTTTTGTTGTGATAAAACAGTCAAGCCAGCATCGTGTATTTCCTCCCCCCCAAGAGCATTTCAGCGGTGTTTGAAACACGCGCATGATGGTGGTGACCGTTGTCGCTGTGCACCCACCACCCCCACGGAGAAATCAATGACACCTCGAAGGCGGTTGTAGCACGCGTGGGGCCGCCACGCGAGTTAGAAGGAAGGCCTCGAGTGACGAGACTTCTGGCTGGCTGGTTGGAAAGCAATCCATTCCCGTGAAAATTTTCCACCCATCCCGCTCACGTCGCCGCGTGCCCCTCCCTGCTATGCTATCTCTCCCTTCTTCCGACTCGCCCAACCCGGTTGCTTGTTCGCGCAAGCAAGTCGTGATATTCCCCCCCACCCTACCCCCCTGGGCGTGCGAGGTCACTGGTCAAACGACTACGGCATACGCGGCTATGAGTATCCCCCCCCCCCCCTCGTGTGCGAGGTGAATGGTGTAACGACTACGGCATGCACGGCTATGAGTACATCCCCGAGGTCAATGGTCTAACCGCTAAGGCATGCAAACATGAGTACGCCCCCCCCGTCCGCGTGCCCCCCCCCCCGCTCTTACCCCGGCGTTTTTTTTCCTCAGGTGAAGGAGATGGTACCCGACATGAATCTAGCGCAGCGCTGCTGGGTGGCGGTCCACCAGCAAGACCCCGCGGCGGCGGCCAGCATCCTGGACACGGTCAAGGAGAGGAACATGGGTCCCTGGTACGCGAGCCTGTGCCACCAGCACCCGTCCCTGTTCCCGCTCGACGCGGCGCTGGCGGCGAAGATGAAGGAGGTCAACGAGGCGGAGAAGGAGCGCATCTCGGAGGTGTGGTACCTACCTTGGAAGCAACTTGCGGTAGAGTACATCGTTCGTTCGGGAGCGTGTCACGTCGCAAGACGACTGACCTCGCAGCTCTTGGAAGTATGTATCGTACCATCTCTCTATCTCCTATGTTTGTGTGCCTGTTTTTTGTGATTCGATCCACAACTTTGAATCGATAAAGCGACAAGACTCGAACGCCGAACACGAAAAATCACAACACGTGACCACTTTGTTGAAGAGATACCTGGTGCCTCTGCTTGCGCCCCACCCCCCCATGCTCCTGTTTTTTGTGCGGGGCATAACGCCTCGGGTTTTGTGGAGAACCGCGACCTTGAGGTTTTACCTCAACGGGTGAAGTCGGTTCGGGGGCCATGCTGATGTTTTGTGCGGGAATATCATTTGATGTCTGTGTATATATGTAACGCCTCGGTTTTGTAGAGAATCGCAACCTTGACATTTTACCCCAACGCATGAAGTCGGCGTGGGAGGGGGGGAGCAGCAAACCGGGGACATTCTTGTTGCGTGTCCAGTAGCCAACGCAAAGATGGAAGACAATCGTCACACGAGGGTTGGTATTGAACCGCATCTTCGGAAGCTCTGCCGTGTATGCTGCTGTTCGCATCTCGTCGTTTGTGGTCCGTGCGTCAGGTGCTAGATTGTAGATACGGGTTCTTGACAACGGTTTCCCCGAGCCCCCCCCCCGCCCCCAACCCTTACCGCCTGCCTGTCTCCCCTCTCCCATTTCAGACATTAAAGGCAGCGGAGGAAGGAGAGGGCGACATGGAGGTTTTGGACGCGCAGTTCGAGATGGCCAAGATGTGGGCAAGAGTAGGGGACAAGGTACGATTGAAACTGGCCGGAAATTTACAGCTCCGCGTGCTAGTCGTCTGTGCATACATACCCATGGCGCCAGGAGATTGATGAAATGTATGAAGGTTCATTTCGGGGGCGGGTGTAGGCAATATTTGGTCATATCAGACATGATACATGAGGTTGATCCCTCTTTTCTGCCACAGCACATCATGAACCATTGTTGCCAGATCAGAGAGAAAGGTGTGGGGTTGATACCCCCCCTGCTACACCATCGCGCAGAAGCCCATCAAAATCCTCGAGCTGTTTTTGTTTTTTTGCTGAAGAGTAGGAAACGAGAATATATGGCACCAATTGCCATGACACCCGGTGATTTATCCCGCTGGGAAATCTCCCGCATTCCCCCGCACACCATTTCTAGGAATCTTTCAGGGATCTGACCCGTCTACTACGCGTTCCCGCTATTGATGCCGCTACGGGGCTGAGTTTCTGTTCATTGGCTAGCGTGATCGATGCTGTTCTATTGAAAAACCGCACATACACGGGGTTAATGGTGATGCTAGCACGAGCAGATACCGCAGCAAGAACGTTACGTGGCAGTGTTGATTGAGTCACGTTCTTTTGCAAGTTTATTTCGAACCCAGATTGGACCCTCCCTGTTGTCCAATCTCCAAGCCCCCCCCCCCCCCCCCCCCCCCGGCGGGGGGGAACTTGGGGGGGGGAACCCTTTCCCCAAAAAAGGGTTTGGGTTTTTTTTTCCCCCCAACCCGGTGAGAAATTTAAAACGGGGGTTTTTTCAAGGGCCGCCGGGTTACGGGGGCGATTTTTTTTGTAAAAAAAAAAAACAGGCCCCCGGGGCCCCAAACCAAATAACCGGGTGGGTGAAAGGCCCCCTTTCCCCCCCCCATCCCCCCGGCTTTAACTGGGGATTTCCCCCA